TACAAACTCCGGTGTCTATAATAAAGTGACATCTCGTCTGGCTCTCATATTCACCCTTGAAGGTGAATACTAAACATGAGGAATCAGCATGATTTTCTGCTAAAAGTGAAAAATTATCTGTTGCATTCCAAATACAAAATGTTTGCATTCAAATTAATGCAAATAAACATAGATATTAAATATATACATTATAAATATATATAAAATATAGACAGTAAATTTATGTGAAATTAATATGTAATATGTTATACAATAAAAATTCAGATAGGTAATATAACATAACATATGCATATACTTATATTAATAGAATTACTATATTATTATATATTGTGGCATATATACAATATATTGCAATAAAGCATATAAATAACAGGTAAGTTATAAACAAATGAACCAAATATGAAAAACAAATACAGCATTACTAAATAAATATATAAGATAAAATACAGCTTAAACATAAGAACAAAGATATTAAATATAACATCTATATGTATATAAAATAAATATAAATAGTAAAATACTTAACATTAACTTAATGTCAATAAACATAGATATTAAAATCAACTCTTGGATTTCTTTTTACATATTTTAATTTTTTGTTGTATAACTTGAATGTTTGGTTATTTTATAATTTGAATGTTTTGATTGTTGTCTTGCCATTTCTGAAAATGTTTCCAATGTTAATTTGACAATTAGGACTGTGTCCATTTATTATATTCTTTCTTTTGAGAACTCCAGTTAGGTTTATATTACATAAATTACGCATTATCCCTCCATATCTTTAGCTTCTGCTTCATATTTTCCATTTCTTTGACATCAGTGTTTCATTTGTAAACATTTCTTCAAGTGTATCTCCCGGTTTATTAATTCTCTCATCAGCTATAGTTAAACTGCCATGAAACCTATGTATTGATTTCCTATTTCAATTATTTAATATTTTATTTCTGATAGTTCTAATAGTTCATTTCTCAAGTCTGACTAGTCAATATATTTTCTCTTTATTCTGTGTTTAAAAACATGTTTTTATTTTTGAAAATAGTAATTACACTTATTTTTCATTTTATATTTTCAAAGACCAATAACCAAGGTAAATAATTGGTCTTTGAGAATATAAAATGAAACCCAGCAGCACTCATTCTGCTGGTTTTTCACTCATGACGGCTTATTTTCTTGTGTGCTTAATAAATTTTTATCCTGAGTTGTTAAATTTAATTGAAAACTTATTTGCGATATTAATTTGAGTTTGACATGATGTAATGGCCTCCATAAAAACTCATCATTATATATAATGATTAACTAATGCCTTTCCCGAGAATCAATTTCTCCTCATTTTTTACTTAATAATTTTGGACCACCATAAATCTATGTAAAGAGTGGTCTATGATTAAATTTTTTCAAAAATGAGCTTTTGCTTTTTTCCCTTCTAACTTCTGATCAAGGCTAAGGTGAGTGATTTCCCTTAAATTTCCAATAATATGGGTGAGGTTATTTTACATCATATTATTTTATGTTCACCCTTAATGTATCAATAGTTTAATGGAGGTAAATTCTCTTATTCAACTCATACAAGATTGAAACTGGAGTTCTATTTTTGAATCCTAAATTCCGTACACTGATTAAAATACAAATCCCTTTTTTTAAATTCTGCAATTATCTTAGGGCCGAAGTCCTCTGCAATGTCCTGTTTATTTCCCTCAGTTACCAATTTTTGTTAGATTTAGCCTGATAATACATAAAATTTTAGTAAGCCTATTGAATTGACCATATTTTAAAATATTTTAAGCACTGTTTTCTCTCAAAGGATTCATCCAAGTGTACTTGTCCAAGTGTACTTAGTCAATAGTCTTCTAATCAATCAATACCTTAATTAACCCAGAGGTTTTGCTTTGGTACCAAAGATGGACTTGAATATATTCTCAATCAACTGCTTAGCTCAACTGCTCCTTCTATTTGTGAACTTTCAATTTTAAAACACTAAGCTTAAAACTAAATTGTGTACTATCCACTTTGAAAACAATCATTTATCATTTATGTGAAATAAGAAAATAAAACCCTTTATATTGCACCAACCACTTTTGGCTCTCCCTTTTTATCTTTCAACTTATATAACTCTACGGCTACTTTGACATTGGCAAGGTTTGTAATTTTTAGAATCTGTTCATTAAGTACATTTATCTTCAATTTCTTTTTTCTGTAGGTTGATTGAGAAGGTAAATAGTCTTAATAATTACAGTGATATGAGTTTTATGTCACTATTTTTGTCTGTAGTATCATTTAATCATAAAGTAGAAACTTGCAGATTTAGGTTGCTCAGCCTATAAAGTATAAATTTAAATTTCAAGCCTTCAAGTTCTTGAGTACAGAGCATATGCTTTTGTCTTATTGCTTGATTAATTCACATACTAAATGTGTATGAGTACATGTTTTCTTTATCTAATAGTTCCATTCAAATTCACTAAATAAGCTGTATTAATCACTTATATGTTAGACCCACAGAAAATCAATCATGTGCATATTAGATCTCTGTTCCTCTATGGAAATTGTTCTAGAAAACAGTGTCAGCTCAATTTTCTTTTTGTAATTCGTAACGGTTATTTAAATATTTTGTATTAATCTACTTTTTTAAAAAATATTTATTTATTTTACTTTAAGTTCTGGGATACAAGTGCAGAACATGTAGGTTTGTTACACAGGTATACAAGGTATACATGTGCCATAGTGGTTTGCTGCACCTATCAACCCACCATCTAGGTTTAAAGCCCTGCATTCATTAACTATTTGTCCTAATGCTCTCTCCCCGCTCAGCCCTTATCCCCTGACTGGGCCTGGTGCGAGTTGTTCCCCTCCATGTCCATGTTTTCTCATTGTTCAACTTCCAATTATGAGTGAGAACATGTGGTGTTTGGTCTTCTATTTCTGTGTTAGTTTGCTGAGGATGACGGCTTCCAGCTTCATCCATGCCCCTGCAAAGGACATAATCTCATTTCTTTTTATGGTTGCATAGTATTCCATGGTGTACAGGTACCACATTTTCTTTATCCAGTCCACTGTTGATGAGCATTTGGGTTGGTTCCATGTCTTTGCTATTGTAAATAGTGCTGCAATAAACATATATATCCATGTATCTTTGTAGTAGAATGATTTATATTCCTTTGGGTATATACCCAGTAATGCGAGTGCTGGGTCAAATGGTATTTCTGGTTCTAGATCCTTGAAGAATCACCACATTGTCTTCCAATTTACATTACCACCAACAGTGTAAAAGCGTTTCTATTTCCCCACAGACTCGTCAGCATCTATTGTTTCTTGACTTTTTAATGATCACCATTCTGACTTGTGTGAGACAGTATCTCATTGTGGTTTTGATTTGCATTTTATTTGCTTTTGTGTTTGAAATGAGCTTTTATAGGACGAATTTTGTTTAGCATGTTTATATTTGCAAAATTTTCAACACCTATGTTTTTCTCTAATAGAGAAAATATATGCCTACTTTTCCAAAACAATATAATTTTTGTCCTCCTAATCATGCATTTTCAAAAAACTATTTTTTGTGAGAAAATGTATTGCTATCCCTTTGGATTCCTCTTGTAATACAAATCAGTTGTTGCACAGATATTTACTGTATATTATAGCTAAGCAATCTATTCTTTATGTTTCTTTTAAACAATCTTTATAAAGTTGTACATATTTTTTACACAAGTGATGAACAACAGGGAAACTCTCTGAGTCCTTGATTATCTCAATGATATTTTTATGTTGTCTATTAATTTAAAATTTTTTTCGTATTTCAATAAGAAACCTGAGCACAAACAACCTGCCTTCAAAAAAACTCTGCTACATTTTATTTTAGTATTCAGTATTGCTCATAAGGCTGATCTCAGTAAGATCATTCGGTTTTTTTTTGTTTGTTTGTTGTTTTTGTTTTTTGTTTTTTTGAGATAGAGTCTCGCTCTGTAGCACAGGCTGGAGTGCAGTGGCATGATCTCAGCTCACTGCAACCTCTACCTCCTGAGTTTAAGCAATTCTCCTGCCTCGGCCTCCTGAGGAGCTGGGATTACAGGCATGTGCCACCACACTTAGCTAATTTTTTGGTATCTTTAGCAGAGACAGTGTTTCACTATATTGGGCAGGCTGGTCTCGAACTCCTGACCTTGTGATATGGCTGCCTCAGCCTCCCAAAGTACTGGGATTACAGTCGTGAGCCACCACACAGCCAAGATAAACATTTTTAAGCTGTTGTACATATCTTGAAGACTTTTAGAATTATTTATTAGTGAAGTTATGTAATTTATTTTGGATATGTTTTCCTGTGCACTTTTCCATATTACATTTACCTAGCTGAAGACTAAATGAATGACTTTAGTATAATGTTTTATTTTTATTCAATTGTGTGATATTTACAAACCTAGATGTTATAACCTACTACACACCTAGGCTATGTGGGACAATCTATTGCTCCTAAGCTACAAACCTGTAGAGCATGTTACTATAGTCAATAATGTAGACAAACATAATAGTAAATACTTGTGTATCTAATCACAAAAAAATTACAGGAAAAATACAACATTATATTCTTCCATCATTATCCAAAATGTCATTATGTGGCACATGACTATATATACTTGAACAAAATGGGTTCAAACTGGGTGTGTCTACTTATATGTAATTTTTAAATATACATGGTTTTTTTTAGCAATTTGCAGTACTTTGAGAAAACTCACAGACAGATTGCATACCCTAGGAATATAAAAAATATTAGAAAAACCTAGATGTGTCATGAATGCGTATAATATAGGTATAATCTATTTTATTAGGTACTACCATAAAAATAATTAAATCTATAATAAAAAGTTAATATTTATCAAAATGCAAACACATACTGTATGTAGGCTGCTCATAATAGAAATGTAAACAAACACAAGTAGTCATTACTACTTAAAATTCACTGTAGTACAGACTGTAATACTGTAATAATTATGTAGACACCTCCTGTTGCTATTGCAATAAGCTCAAAAGTTGCAAATAGACACTTAAAGTGCTGTATGATACTATCTCTTGTTTCTCCAGTGAATTTGTGTATAATGGTAAAAAGTGATCTCACAGAGTTCTCACCATATAAATCACATTTAGTGAAATACCTTAAATCTTAAATAACATCATGGGACCCACATAAAATGTCACTAGTGATGCTGGAGGTTTTCCCAATAAGCTGAGAAAAGTCATTGCATTGCAAGAAAAAGTTAAATTACTTGATACATACCATTGGTTGATGTCTGCAGCTGCAGTAGACAGCCATCTCAAGAAACAAACCCAGTGTAGGGACTATGGAAAGAAAAAAAAATGTGAAGCCATCACTGTAGCTGTGCCAACCAGCACAAAAACCCTGCACCTTTTGCAAAATACCTTTTTATCTCATATTAAAATTGCAGCTTTTATGTGAGTACAGGATTGCTATAAGAAAGGCATACTTACAGAATCTAAAATGATTTTTTTAAAAAGCAACATCATTATATGACATCTTAAAGCAAAAGGAAGGTAAAGGATATTAAGCTGGATAATTGAACGCCAGTACAGGATGGTTTGACAAGTTTTAAAAAGGTTTGGCTTTAAAAATATCAAGATTAGCAGGAAAAGCAGCTTTTACTGATGAAGAGGCAGCAGAATTCCCAGAAGCCCAAGATAATCGAGGAGAAAAAATATCTGCTGAATGGGTTTTTAATTTAGACAAAAGTGCCATATTCTGGAAGAAAAAAATTGCCACAAAGGACATTTATTAATAAGGAAGAGCAGTGAGCACAAGAATTTAAGACATTTAGTAGATGAACTCTACTGTTTGGTGCAAATGCACTTGGGCTTATAATCAGGACTGCCCTTATCTACAAAGCTGCTAACTCTAGAGCCATGAAGGAAAAAGATAAACGTCAGCTGCCAGCCTTTCTATTGTACAATATGAAGACCTGGGCAATAAGAAACTTTTTCTGAATTGCTTTCAGTGATGCTTTGTCCCTGAAGTGAGGAATTACTTTTTCAGTAAGGGACTGACTACTTTTAAAATTCTTTTGAGATTGGACAAAGCCTTGGCCATCCAGAACCCCATGAGTTCAACACAGAAGGCTTCAAAATAGTCTACTTGCCCTTAAACACACATCCTTAATTCATCCTCTAAATCAGGGAATCTTAAAAAACCTGTAAGACTCATTACACTTAATTCTCTGTAGCGATGACTGTCAAAACTGTAGAAGGGAACCCTGATACAGAGAACACCATGCAAGTCTAAAAGGATTATAACATGTAAGGTGCCAACATTGTTCCAGAAAAAATGGTGAAAGCCATGAAGCATGAGACAATAAATCCCTGAAGAAGAAAACCATGTCCAGATGTTGTGCACCCCTTCCCAGGATTCCAACAGAACCAATCAAGGAAATCATAAAAGAAATTATGGATATAGTGAAAAAGAAGTAGATGATCAAGGCTTTCAAGATAAGGATTTTGGAGAAAATCAAAAGTTAATGGAAACAAAAACAGAAGATTTAACAGACGATGACTTGATGCAGATAAGTGCTTCCAAATCAGGGTCAGACAATGAGAAAGAAGAGAATACGAGGTAGAAGCATTGCCAGAAAACAAATTGATATTAGATAGTCTGTCAAAAGGGTTCCAACTATTCAGAACGGCTTTTGATTTTTTTTTTTTTTTAACTACATGGACCCTTCTATGATAAAAGCATAGAAACTAAAGCAAACAGTGGAAGAAAGATTGCTACTATAATATACACAAGCATTTTTAGAGAAATAAGCAAAAATTCAGGCAGATATTACCATGTATTTCTGTAAAGTTACACTGAATGTGTCCACCTCTTCCGCCTCCCCTTCCACCTCCTCCACTTCTTCTGTCTCTTCCACCCCAAGACAAGAGCAACTCCCCCTTTTCCTCTTCCTCCTCAGTCTACTCAGTGTGAAGATAACAAGGATGAAGATCTTTATTAAAATGATACACTTCCACTTGACCAATAGTAAGTATATTTTCTCTTATGATTTTCTTAATAACATTTTTTCTCTAACTTTACTACAAAATACAGCATATAATATATGCAACACACAAAATACTTGTTATTCAACTCTTTATGTTGTAGGTAATATTTCTGGTCAACAGTAGGCTATTAGTAGTTGTTTTGGAGGAGTCAGAAATTATACACCGATTTTCGGCTGGGCAGTGGGTCAGTGACCCTAATCCCCATGTTCAAGGCTCAATTGTGTGTGTATATACACATAGCATAGTCCTCACCTAATGCCATGGATAGATTCTCGGAAACTGTGACTTCAAGCAAAATGATGTATAACGAAACCAATTTTACTATAGGCTAATTGATAACAGCAAGAGTCAAGTTCCTATCGTATATATCCGTCAGAAAAAGACAACCAATTTTTTATACAGACCCAATGCACTTCTGATATAAAACATTAAAATCAATTAGAGGTATATGTACATTTAAGGAAAATTAATAAAAAGCAGGATAATGGCATACCCAATTATTGCACTTCAGGTTCGTGGGTGACTAGAGTCGATCCCAGCAGCTAGGGATGCAAGGCAGGAATTTAACCCCTGGTAGAATGCCATCCCATGGCAGGGTGCACTCGCAGACTCCCGCGTTCACTCACACTGGGCAATTTGCACATGCCAGTTAACTGAATATGCACCGCTTCGTGATGTGGGAGGAAACTGGAGTACTTGGAGAAGACCCACACAGACATGGGGAGAACATGAGAACTTCACATAGACGGGGGACCCTATCAGGAATCATTTATTTTTCTCATCAGTGTTATAAAGAAATGTTGCTAGTCAAAGACCTGACATATACATATCTGGTTTATATACATACATATAACTGTTTATCCATATATAAATATATGGAAATATATATGCATATATGTGGAATGTATATACATACATTTATGCAAAACAAATATGTGTACATATATGGAGAACATACATATATAATGAAAATAAAATATATATCTTTTGTATACAAAATATAAGATAAAATACATATAATAAATACATATAAAAATAAAAGATATATATGGAAAAAGAGTTCTGCTTTTTCTTTTCATCTCAATCTGCTTTTTACTTTTAAAAAGCAGCATTTCAGTCTGCTTTTAATTTTAATCTCAATCATCTCAAACTCCTATTCTCAGCACAGATAATTTTTGTATTTGGAACAAAAACAAAGCAGCTATCTGAAAAATTACAAAAGCTACTTTAAGGAATATGGAGTTCTTTATCTAATAATAGGTGATTATGATTGGAAAGATCTCTTTAATTTTTCTCAGACATGGAATAAAAGAAGTCTACCATGGGCTCCAGGCACATTAAAGTAAATTCAAATACTTGCTTCTCCTACCTGCACAATACCCTTGGTCAGATACGTCATCTGACAAGCTTAAGACATGTATAGTATTGATCGTTTCATATATTTTAAATAATAAATGTGGTATTTTGTTCCAAGAACAGCGACTGAAAATACAGGAAAGAGCAGTGCAAGCCATGAAGCAAGAAACAATAAGTTCCTGAAGAAGAAAACTGTGTGTAAAATAAGAACTGTCTACACAAACACAGTGGCTACTGACTATTGAGCTCTTATTTCTCCCCATGTATGTGTGAGTCTTTCCCAGGTACTCCAGTTTCCTTCCACATCACAACTGTGCATATTCGGTTAATTGGCATGTGTAAATTGTCCCAATATGAGTGAATGTGGGTGTCTGTGAGTGCACCCTGCCATGGGATGGCGTTCCCAGGGTGAGATTCCTGCCTTACAGCCTGAGCTGCTGGGATAGGCCCCAGCTATTATAGATAGATATAGATAGATCAGATGAATAGATAGATATAGATAGATAGATAGATAGATAGATAGATAGATAGATAGATAGATGATAGATAGATAGATAGATAGATATTTAGTGTAGTTATAGATCTGTCAGTCTGTATCCACATCTACATCCATATCGATACCATTTCTGTTTACAAATTATACTCCCTCTACCTCAACTACTCACCTCTCATCTCTGCCACTGCAACACGACATTAACCATAGATGTAAACAAGGGAATATCTCCATGTTCCTAAAACAAAAATTAAAAACTCTGTTTATGAACATTGAACTTTGAATTTCATACACTTTTATGCTGTGAAATCATATTTAAATTTTTTTACAACTATTTTAAAACTGCAAATGTAATCTTACCTCACCAGCTACACAAAAACTGGTGTTGGCTGGATTTGTCTCGTGGGACCCAACTTGTCAACCTCTGCCATATATGAAGAAAAGAGAAGGCTCATTCATGTAGAGGGCTGCTTGGGGTTTTTATTTTATTCTCTATGTCTAAACACACATGTCTCTGAACAAATCTGTCTTCTGATGGCATTTCTTACCAAGAATTTTGTGCATGTAGGGGAAGAAAGTATTTGGATTTACTTTAATGTGCATGGAGCCCACAGCAGACTTTTTTTTTCCTCTCACTTCTGAGCCAGATTGAAGAGATGTTTCCAATAAAAAATAATTGCCTACATAAGGATTCCATATTTCCTAAGGTAACTTTTTAAATTTTTCAGATAATTCCTTTGTGCTTTATTCTGAATACAAAATTTATCTGTGATGATAATAGGAGATTCAAATATAAATAAAAAGCAGAACTGTTTTTCTTCATTAGACAGCCTGTGAATTACCTACTATGATTTTTTTTCCTTGCACAAGCAACTCTCCATCTCTACCTCTTCTGAGCATAGGGACAATCATCTTGGTTTCTGTCTCCTCTGGAATGTGTTTCAGGCTGTGGCTTCCAATGTGTGAACCAGTGTGTTTTGTTCTTCGAGAAATTCACCAAAATATATAAATATTTATACTTCCTTTACCATTACCCTCACAAAACACAAACATGCACTCCATCTCCATACTATTATAGATTTTTCAGAGTTCTATTCACAAAGATTTGGGAGAGGTAAACATGTATTTTCAGTTAACGTTCTCAAAATGATATACCATGCTTATTATTTAAAATATACTTTATTAAATAATAAATGTTGAACTTGTCTTAATCATTTCTGAAGCAAGTTTCTATATTGTATTCCTTAGTAATTTTTATTAGACAGTTGTAGCAAATTTAAATAATAATACCGATGATCTGAGAGCATATTAAATGCAAGCCTAAGGCAAATCTGTCAGGAATTAGTGAAAAGATCAGTAGTATAAATGTGTGGCGTTATTTTACTACCATTTTCAGAAGAAAAAACAATATACACATAATTATATGCCTAGATAACTTATTGATCTTTCCTGATAACTCTGAAATATATTGTATCTGTATGGATATTCGTCTATCAATCTGAAGTTATAATTACAGAAAACTTACATTTTTACATTTCCAATAGTCTTGAGATTGACTTTAGAGCTAACACTTTCAAAGAAAAGTATAAAATAAGAATTTTATGCACAAATATAGTTGCCTTGTTTTTATTTTCTTGTATTCTATTCTTTTATGCATAATTGACAAGATTTATATAGTATCAAACTAAATATATAGTTTTAGGCAAAAAAAGGTTATCAATATTATAATTTTATATGTAAAATTATATATCATAATGACTTAAACTTCTTTCACACAATAATCCCTATAGAGAAGAGTAGGCACTTCATCCATATAATATTTGTGAAACTTTCCAGGAAAAATACATACATATACACACATATGTCTATATATACATAAATACATACTTGTATATATATTTTTCCTTATATATGTGCATATATGTATAAATATGTATATATGTGCATATATGTATAAATATGTATATATGTATATACATATATACATGTGGAGAAGATGTGTTTATATATGTGTAAATATATGTATTTTACTATATATTTCTATTTACTAATTATATACTATACTATTTATTTCTATTATAATAATATATTATACTATTTATTTCTATATATATACAGAAATAAAAATTTATTGTGCTTCACTGATGAAGTTTTACGCAGTCATTATGAGTCACTGCAATTACACTAAAGGCATTGGCGTCAATTGTGGGTTTTCTCATGCACAGGATTTCTTAGGACACAAAACATTTTGCCAGTGGTGTAAATACTGAATTGTTTTTTAAGTTGCAGTAATGTTTTCGTGTCATAATGTTTGATGTATTATTGTCATCATTTGAACAGTTATTATGTAACTTTTTTCTTCTACATTCTTTAATTTCAAAATTATGATGCAAATAATTCAGAAAAGGGATAATTAGAGCGATATTGCATTATGCTGTACTGTTCTTGACAACAACAGACCAATCTATAGGGTTCTGACTAGAAAGCCATTATATTAAAATATAACTCCAGATCAGACTGCCAGTGTCACTGTCTATGAGTGTTCACTTAATTTCTGAGTGTTCATCTTCTACTATTTCGATCTTAAGCATCTGTACAATCAGAAAACTTATCCTTGTATCTCTCAGCTCCAGATAGAAATTCCAATTTTATTCTAATTTGCTCTGATTCCTTCTTAGTTTCCTGCATACTTTTTTTCTTATGTATCACTAGTCATTTTCAAACCTTTTGGAGGCCAAAAACACCTTTGAAATTTAAGGAAAAATATTCCCTTCCTGTCTTCTCATCAAAGTATCATTTAGAAATGACATAGCACAATATTTTAATAAGCCATAATTAGTAGGTATATTAGTAAGGGTACATTAAAGGGACCAAAATCACACTGTTACTCTGAATAGGAAAATTTTAGTATAAAATAATTAGTAATCAGAGATTCACTAATCATTTGAGTAAAGAGAACATTAAAGAATACAAGAAGAGCACATGTAGGAAGCAGCCCAAAAGAGGACAGTTCTCCACTTCCCAACCCTTGAGACTGAGACCAAGAGCTCATGCAAGAGAGTGAGGCTGCTATTTACTGAATGGCAGAGCGATACGCTAAGGTGCTGTAGGTTAAGACTGTCAGGAAGGAAATCTGTCACTGAGCTATTGCTGAAACTCAGTCAGAAGCTGTCCACTGCGGTGCTAGAAACTTGGTAAGAATTACCCGTGGCAGTAAAGTAAAATTCACTAAGAAGCTCTCTAACTAGGGGCTGGAGAAACTTACCAAAGGGCATTCATTACTGGGTCTCTTTCAGACAACTGACAAGGAATCTTCCCACCAACAAGCAAACTTTCTCCTAGTAGCCATATCCTATGAGCAAGAGTGTATATATGTAAGTGCTTCACATAGAAGAGGAGAGGCTCCTTCCTTTTTCAGCAATCCTTTGAACACTCTCTCCTGACAAAGTCTGATACTTTTCCAGCTGTCAAAAAGATGTTTATCAGATAGAGCCGCAATGTTACAAAAAGGGCATGTAAGTGTACATTTGGAACAGGTAAGCAATCAGTTTATAATTGGGACAGCCTATGCATTAGGCTATCCAGCTTCCACATAAACACTTGGGTACTCTTATATACTATTTAGATATTTACAACAGGAGTATTTGTTTTCCATTTGAATGAAAGAGAAAGAGACAGAGAGAGAGAGAAAGAGAGAGAGAGAGAGAGAGAGAGAGAGAGAGAGAGAGAGAATCTGTCTTCATAGGGGATTTCCAGAAGCCAACTCAAGAAAATTACTTAAATGAATATAACTTATTTTGGGGGGTGATCCCAAAATTCACAATTTTGGGTATTTATAGGTAGAGAGAAGTAGGAAAGAAAAGGGTACAATAAAAGTAAATGATAGTATACAAGATGCATTATTAAGCAAGCGACCATTGTGGGTAACTAAGCTTAATACTAATGGAAGGCTCTGGCAGCAAATGAAAACAACATACTAGAGAATTATTCATGTAAGTTTTGTGTGATCCAGATATGTACACAGTAACTCCTGTAAGTCATTGTTTGAGGAATTCTGCTGACGGTTTCAATAATTTGGCAAACCTAACCTGATTTAGAAATGGGGAAGAGGTCTCTGGAAATCAAAGAATGTCCTTATGCAAGTAGATGCAGTTTCTGTGGATTGAAAATCAGGCCTTTATGTACTAGAATAGAAAGGCATCATTGAGATTAATATGTAACTAATATATGTATCCATATTAACTCCAATCTCCACCAAATGTATAACCTATGAACGCTTCAAGTTTTGTGTGGTTTGAGGTCCAGTTTATTAATTCCTTTGACTATTAAGCAAGAATGAGTTGAGTTTCCACTAAGGGTGTGACACTATAAGAATTTTTGGGCACATAGCAATAAACAGTACAGATACAAACATTTTCCTCAAGGAAACTCATATATTTAGAATACTTGCTTCATTTGGCATAATATCAAAAGTTATGTGGGGATATAGTTTTTCCTCAAATAAAATAATATATAAGAAATATTTATATGATTTTAAACATGAAAACATTTGAATTATATTCAAAAATATTTCCTGTTATTTAAAGATGTGTTTTAATTAAAATACAGTATATAAAGTTTAATATTATAATTTGCTTTCTATATAATATGTAACATAATTTAAATTAAGAATCAACTTTTTACATCACGTCATCATGCCATTCACATATATATGGGTATGTACATATATATATGGGGGTGTGTGTGTGTGTGTGTATATATACACACACAAAACTTCTTTTATCTGGAGCATCAAGCTCTAGGCACTTTTAAGCTCAAATGTAATGCTTAAGCAGACAGTCCTACTTTGGGTTAACTTGAAGTCTGTGAAGACAAATGAGTCCTAAATCACAAAATAATCATTGGTCACAAGAGCTTAGATAGAAGCCAGTTTTTAGAAAACTGTACCAGTAAATTTCAACTATAAAAGAAAATGGGCAAAGAACCGAATGTAAACTAAAGGCATGTGTGTAATGCCGCTTACAAGATAACCCATAAGAAGCAATAATGATGGAGCATGTTATTATTGGGAGATAAAGTACATAGGAATTTTCAAGACTATTTAACTTAATAAATCAAACAGGAAGTAAAACATTAAACATAAAATTAAAAGTGAGACTATCAGAAAGATGAACATTAGCATAGTGATTATATGAGCACAATTACTTTAGCTAATATTCACCTGAATCTCAGTCAATGATGGTGCTATAGTTGATGCAAATTAGACATAATTTTATAATTATAATTATATATGGTTGATTAATCATGCACCACTAGACAATATCTAGTGAGCACCTACTCTATAACAGTTATATTTCCAGATGCTTATAAACAAACAGTGACTAAAACAAAAAGGTTAGTGGCTTTTTTCCTCTAATGGGGTGGAAGAAAAAATTAAGGAAATGATGGCTAATAAATAATTAATTAGTATAGATGCCACTAAGAAAATGGGTAGTTATGAAAACTATAAGGCTGTTTTAGATAACGTTGCCAGTAAAGACTTCTCTGAGGGCATGAATATTTTTGCAGGTCCTAAAATAAAAAGAACAAACCTCACAAAGATCTAGAGGAAGAGTTACCCCAATAGGAGGAGTAGATGCCACATTATAAGGTGAAGCAACAGAAATGACAGTCCAATTTAATCAGAGTGAGTGAGAAAAAGACAGAGAGAGGAAATGAAGGACCCAATATGAAAGCCTCACAGACTGTGGTTAGGAGTTCAGTTTGTATATAAAGCACTATTGGAGTGTTGAGACATAATCTGATTTATACTGTGCAAGTGTCATTTTGATATTGCAGAGGATCAGTTTAAGGAGACTAGGCATATGACTATAGAGATATGTTATAAAGACATTGCAGTGATTTAGAAGTGAGATGTAGGTTCTTCATAGTAGCATCATATCCATAGTAGTATTAAAAATATTTATTTACCTTATAGGAGTTACTAGCATTTTGTGATGTGATACGTAGAGAAAATTCAAGGATTACACCAAATTCTTATGGAGCAGACAAGTGGATTGAGTTGCCCATTAACAAGAGATAGAATACTTAGGAAGAAACAAGTTTGGGGAGCAATTGAAATCAATGAATCATTTCTAGTTATATACCCAAAGGAATATAAATTGTTCTATCATAAAGACAAATGCATGCATATGTTTATCACAATGCTATTCACAAGAGCAAAGACATGGAATCAACCTAGATGACCATCATCGATGGACTGGGTAAGAAAATGTGGTATATATACACCACGAAATACTACACAGCTATAAAAAAAATGAGATCATAGCCTTTGCAGCAACATGGATGGAGCTGGAGGCCATAATCCTAAGTGAATTATTACAGGAACAGAAAACAAAATATGCATGTTCACACTTACAAGTGGGAGCTAACCATTGAGTACACATGGAAACTAAGAAGGAAATAATAGACACTGGGGCCCATTTGAGGGTGAAAATTGGGAGACAGGTGAGGACTGAAAAACTTACTATCAGATATTATGCTAATATCTGGAGTGACAAAATTATCTGTACACCAAACTCCCACAGTGATATGTAATTTACACATGTAACGAACCTGTACATGTATCCCTTGAACCTAAAATAAGAAATGGAAAGAAAAAAATAAATAAAAATATTCCACCCCCCAAAAAAAATCAAGGAGTCTCTTTCAGATTTTGTATTAGTTATTATTGCTGTGAAACATATCACTATAAACATAATTTCTTAAAACAACATATATTTATTATCTCAAAGTTTCTGTGTAACAGAAAAAACAGGCACAGCTTACCTTTAGGGTCTCTTACAATACTTCAATTGCTATGCAGTCCAGGACTCAGATTTGATTTCAGGTTCAACTGGGGAAGAATCTGCTTCCTATTTCACATGGGTATTGGTGTGATTCAGTTACTGGTGGGCTGTCAGACTGAGGGCATTAGCTCCTTGCTATCTTTCAGCAAGATGCCACCCTTAGTTGTTTGCACTGTGTAACTCTGCATATGATGGCTTAGTTCATCAAAGCTTACAAGGGGGAAAAAAAAAAACAAAAGACAAATTCTATAAGTAAAATGAAAGTTACAAAACTGTGATGCAATCACTCAGCTCACTGCTCAGTTCTAAAACAAAGCCTTATATTTTTAGACATTTATTTGAGTGGCCTCCCACTCCTTGTACCAAAATATGTATATGTTAGTCTGTTCTCACATTGCTATAAAGAAATACCTGAGACTGGGTAATTTATAAAGAAAAGAGATTTAATTAGCCCATGGTTCTGCAGACTGTACAGGACGCATGGGAGCATCAGCTTCTGGGGAGGCCTCAGGGAATTTACAATCATGACAGAAAGCAAAGGGGAGTGAAGTGTCTCACATGGCAGGAGCAGGAGCAAGAGAAAGAGGGATGGAGGAGTGCCACACACTTTTAGATAATAAGATCTCATGAGACTCACTCACTAGCACAAGAACAGTACCAAGCGGATGGTGTTAAACCATTCATGAGAAACCTCCTCCATGATTCAACCACCTCCCACCAGGCCCCAGCTTCAATATTAGAGATTACAACTCAACAGGAGATTTGGGTGGAAACACAGATCTAAACTATATTATTCTGCCCCTGACTCCTTTCAAATCTCATGTCTTTATCACATTTCAAAATATAATCATGCCTTCCCAACAGTCCCAAAAGTCTTAAATCCTTCCAGGATTAACTCAAAAGTCCAAAGTCTCTTCTGAGACAAGGCTTGTACTTCCACCTATGATCCTATAAAGACAAAAAAAAAAGTTAGTTACTTCCGAGATACAATGGAGGTACAGGCATTGGATAAATATTTCCATTCCAAAAGGGAGAAGTTTGCATTGGTGGTATAATGGTGAGCATAACTGCCTTCCACAAGGAAAAAGTGGACAAAAGAAAAGGGTTATAGGTCCCACACATATCTAAGACCCAAAAGGGAAGGCATTAAATTTTAAAACTCTAAAATAATTTCCTTTTATTCTACATCTCACATTCAAGGCAAACAGATGTCATGGGTGGGCTCCCAAGGTCTTGGGCAGTTCCATTCCTGTGGTTTTCAGGGTTCAGTCCCTGCGTCTGCTCTAAAGGGCTGATGTTGAATGCCTGTGGCTTTTTTAGGCACAGAGAGCAATCTTCTGGTGGATCTACCATTCTTATGTCTGGAGGATGGTAGCCCTATTCTCACAGCTCCACTAGGCAGTGATCCAGTGTAAACTCTGTAGACTCTGTGTTGGAGTTCTAACCCTGCATTTCACCTCTGCACTGCCATAGTAGAGGTTCTTCATGAGGTCTCTGTCCCTGCAGTAGACTTCTGCCTGGACATCTAGGCTTTTCCATACATCTTCTAAAATGTAGACAGAGACTCCCAAGCCACAGCTCTTGCATTCTACACACTATGTGTAAGCCACCAAGGGTACGGCTTTCACCCTCTGAAGCAGTGGCCTGAGTTGTATCTAGGCCCTTTTAAGCCATGGCTGGAGCTGTAGCAACTGGGATTCCGGGAGCAGTGTCCCAAAGCTGTGCAAGGCAGTGGGGCAGAAACCATTCTGTCCTCCTAGGACTCTGGGTCTGTGATAAAAAGGCTGCTGTGACGGTCTTGGGAAAAAAAAAAAAACCAAAAAACCTTCAAGGCTTTTTCCCCATTGTCTTGGCTATTAGGACCTTTTTCCTTATGAAAATTTCTGCAGCCTACTTGAATTTTTTACCTGAAAATAGGCTTTTCTTTTCTGCCACATGGCTATGTTGCAAATTTTCCAAATTTTTATGCTCTGCTTCCTTTTTAAATATAAGTTCCAGTTGCAGGCTCATTTCTTTATTCATGCATAGGTTGTTAGAAGCTGCTAGGTCACATCCTGAATGCTTTTCTGCTTAGAAATTTATTCCACCAAATACCCTAAATCATTACGCTCAAGTTCAAAATTCCACCCATCCCTAGAGCAGGGACACAATTCCACAAAGGTCTTTGCTAAGGCATAACAAAAGTGACCTTTACCCAGTTCCCAATAAGTTCCTCATTTCCATCTGAGACCTCTTCAGCCTGGACTTCACTGTCCATATCACTATCAGCATTTTGGTTACAACATTTAAATAAGTATCTAGGAAATTTCCAATTTTCCCTCATCTTGCTATTAACTTCTGGAGCCTCCACACTCTTCCAACCTGTGCGCATTATCCAATTCCAAAGTTGCATCCACATTTTCAGGTATCTTTAAGGCAATGCCTCACTCCTGGTACCAATTTTTGGTGTCAGTCCATTCTCTGTTGCTATAAAAAAATACCTAAGATTGGGTACTTTTTGAAGAAACAAAGTTTCAATTGACTCATCATTCTGTTGGCTGTATAGGAGGCATGATGTCATCAACTTCTTGGGAGGCCTCAGGGACTTATAATCACGGCGGAAGACAAAAGGGGAGTGAGGCAATTCACGTGATGGGAGCAGTAGCAAGAAAGGGTGTGTGCCACATACTTTTAAACAACCAGATATGATAAGAACTCACTTACTATCATGAGAACAGCACCAAGAAGATGGTGCTAAACCATTCATGAGAAATTGCTCCCATGATCCACCACTTTCCACCAGGCCCCAGCTCCAACACTGGGAATTACAATTGAACATGAGATTTGGGCAGGGACACAGAACCAAACAATTTCAATGTAATAGCTTTCCCTTGCTGTATAACAAATTATCAGAAAGTTATTGGCAGAATTCATTTCTTTCTGGGATATAAACTGAGTCAGTAGAGTCTCTCAACTTTTTCTGGTTGTCAACAGGAGGCCGTCAGTGTTTTGTTATGTGGGCCTCTCCACATGGCCATTTGCCTTATCAAAGCCAATAAGGGAGGGATAAAATGGAGATCACTTTCTAGCAAGATAGAAATTGCAATCTTATGTAATATAATCCAAAATTGACATTACTTTACCTTTGCATTTATTTATTTATTTATTTACTTACTTACTTATTTTTGAGGCACAGTCTTGCTCTGTTGCCTAGGCTGGAGTGCAATGGCACGATCTTGGCTCATGCAACCTTTGCCTCCTGGTTTCAAGTGATTCTTCTGCCTCAGCCTCCTGAGTAACTGGGACTACACGTCCCCATCACCACGTCTTGCTAATTCTTGTATTTTTAATAGAGACGGGGTTTCACCATGTTGACCAGGTTGGTCTCGAACTCCTGACCTCATGATCCCCCCACCTTGCACTCCCAAAATGCTGGGATTACAGGCATCAGCCACCGTGTCTGGCCACTTGATTTTCTTTGTTAGAAGTAAGTCACAGATACCACATTCAGGCAGAGGATATTGTACAAATGTGTGCATACCAGGAAATTGGGATAATTGGGGGAAATGTTAGAGTCTATCTGCCCCATATCTATTCATTCTGAGATGTGTATCAGATACCTAAGTGACTTTATTTTGTATTCTGTTAAACGTCACTCTGGAATCCAAGGAATAATACAGGTTTGGAGACAGAAATTTAAGTTATCTCTAAATGGTGTTTAACTAATACAACTGTAAAAGATGGTAGCATGTATGCAAGTAGAAGAGAGAATAGGATGAATCAGATCACCACAACATTAGAAATCCATAAGAATTAGAGATTAAGCAAAAAGCATTTTAAAAGGAGCATGCAGTAAGATTGGAAGAGAACAGAAAGATTGTGTCCTGAAAACTAAAAGCAAAAATTAAGACAGAGTACTTATGTGAAATCATGCTGATAGAACAAGCCATGTAAGAACTTAATACTGCCTATTGAACATGCTAGTTTCAGCAACAAGCGTATTGGCAGACATAAAATCCCGATTGGATTGGCTACAAGCCAGAAGTGGGCTGAGGAAGTACAAAACACAAGAATAAGCACAGTTTTGAGATTTTCTATAAAAAGGAGCTTAGAAATTGGATAACTTGGAAAAGGTGTGATGACCAGATTAGGCTTATTTTATAATGCAGCATATCACTGCATACGTGTGCAACAGCATATTAATTATTGCTTTATCATTTTTCGTGGGAATTAGGACTTTTGTGCAAAATGTGAAATCAAAAGATAATAACAACTACATGTTCTAAAGAAAGAAGGTAAACACATTCTGAAACATTAATATTGTTGCTTTAGTCATTATAAGACTTGAGTTTCTATTGCTTTCTGGTCACAGCTAATTATGAACATGTGCAAGCATGACCATTCTAGATATAATCTTTAACCTCTTGAATTTTTCCCTAAGTCAGGCATGTCCCAAAGTTCATGTCCAGAAGGAAAGTAAAGGTGCTGCGTTCTCATGTTTCCTTGCCTCACCATCCTTCATAATTGTTCTTTTGCTTCTTGAGAATTTTCCAGGATAATGGATGGTAGAATAATTAAATTAAACCAAAATAAAAGATTTTACTCGGTTCCGTCTAATTTTTCCTTTGCCTGCAAATAATCTCAAAAAAGGTTTATTTGCACATTTACAATCTTCTATTTTTCATTGAGATGCATTTTTAAATTCCTCAGGACTTCACACTCTTCCCATCTCCCACTCTAGGATGTAACTTTAGTGTACTATTTCCAGATTTATGGAAGTCTCATCAACACGTAATTACTGTGGTCTGGCAGTTAGCCCTACTAAGTGGGTAGTTTCAAGATCATTTTTGCAATTTTTAAAATTTACATCATCTAATTTGTTCAGGAGAAAAATCATACATTCTATCTTCATCCAAAAAACATGTATCTGATAGCATTCATATCTAAAGATGCTGCGACTCTGACTCCATAGCCTGTTGTGCTGGCTTTCATGGGGTTTCATTTTCCTGTGAATTTTATTTTGACCAGGAACTATGGAGCTTCTGAAGCTTTGGTTGAAGTTGACTTCCTTCAAGGGTAAATTTGCTTCTGTCCCAAGCCTTAGAATCATTATCAGTACAGAGACATTTCAAACTAGAGTTTTAGCTAGAGATTTGTTTTTGCTGTTTTCCGGTCACATATGTAGCATATATCTGGGCCCCAAGCACACATAGGGGTAGAGTTGGCTTCACGAATTCTCAGTGGATTTAACTCTCCCTTCTAGCTAATGCCAACATCAAGATAAATAGATTTCCTGTTCATCTCCTTCTGT